CGCCACCTGCTCCCTCCTCCTTTGATGGCGAAGCCAGGTTACTGAGGCAATGCAGCGCCCTCTAGCCAACCTAGGGCCGTGTACATAGTTCCCGTCCACCTTCTGACGGTGTCTGCCTCCGCGCACAAAAAATGAGATGGGCATCGCTGCCTACGCCGACGGCCAAAGGCCCGCGCATCTACATTTTTTCGTCTGACCCCATCAGTGCCGACCCAACTACACCACCACGCGCATGCCTCGCGGCGGATATGCGCAGCAGCAAGAAGGTTTCGGTCATCCCTTGAGGGTGAATCTAGCCCTGCTCGCCAGAAAGACCCCCCCCTTCGCTACAACCCATGTCTAAGCAAAAGCTTGTCGAGGAGCGAGGGGAAGAAGGGAGAAGTTGGGGTTACATAATTATTCCTGCGCTCGAGTCCGAGCGAAGCACCTTTTGATGACGAACGTTGCTGAACGCCGCGGCAGTGTGTCACAAGCGTGTGGGTTGCGTCTTACACCATTTGGTAGGGCGTCGCTATCGATCGTCCACAGTACACGATATCTCTTCGCGTGTGCACTACCCGGGCTATTCAAGTACGTCAGTGCCCATGCGTAGCTCCACATAAATATGTGCTTCCTAACTTCTCCATCCATATCACTGGGCGTGAACGTTTCTTGGTGCTGCCACCACGCACAATCCTCGACGGTCTGCTCAATCTGGAACCAACCAGTAGTAAAAAAAACTCGGCATGGACATGCATTTCGGCGCGCAATTCATCCAAATCCTCGTGAGTAAGTCGTCGTCCAGCACACAACCCATCCCTCACGCCCCATGAGCAGCCTATCGCACACCATCAAATATCATGACAAGAGTGCGTCCGCGATGGCCGCCGGCACGGGTTCATTTCCCGCCCACACCGCGCGGCACGCCTGCGTGAAGCAGTCGCTCCTCGTCATCTGCACGCCGCGACCCCTTGCATTCATCTGAATGCTCGTGTCGAACGAAGCCTGCACGTTGTGGGCAGGAACAACATCGATGTCGAGTTGTCGGTTACATGGTGAACTCCAGTTCTTTGGGGAAAAATTGAGAGCTAACGAACGATAGCATCGATAGCCTGTGAGAGACGGACGCGTACACGCAATGTGGACGTTCCTCCTTTCGGACTACATGGAGGATATTTTCGGTCCCTCGACAACAGCGTTACTTCTTCTGCCTTGATGAGAGAAAACTACAAAGACTTGGTGACTACGACGGACTCTGCCCGTTCCATGATACGGGAGATACCACCCTATCTCTCGGCATGCCCCGGGGTATCGACGTGTTGGGCACCATATCTATGTGTTTCGACAGCACTGCTGGAGCATTTTATTACGGTTGGGGGTACTCGCCGATGCTTATTCATCTCTCCTTTTCACTTCGTATGGTCATGATGACTTCGCTCTCGCAGCTGCGTTGATCCACGTCATACCGCATTTCGTCATTGAAGTTCGAAAGTGACTTGCATTTACCTTCTAGTGCAGACAAATGACGCACTGCTCAACGCACACATGTGTATCGCCGTCCTTACGCGACCAAGTACCTTGCATCCTACAGCAGCTGCCATGGGCACGCCTGCAACCGTCACAACGTGCAGCATGTGTTGATTTCGAGCATGTTCTACCTACAGCCTGCTACTACATAGAATCCTCACATGAGAGACATGCTCCTGCGATGCATACGTGTTGGGGCTAGAGCCAGCCAGCCACCTACAGGCAACATACTCTTATCGGGGTGGTACTTTCGCGACTCACTTGATTCCTTAAACGCTTCGTTGTGACCGCCCCTCCCGATGCAGCGAGAGTAATGGTACCCGCAGAGACCGGGGTGCTGCTGCGCCACGGTCGTCCGTTCCGCAAGGTTGTTGATCTCGGGTAGGGGCTGCGGCCCTGTTGCCCCGTGTTGACAATAGCGCTACCCTACCGCCCGGGCTGCAGCAGCCGTGGCATCGGGAAGTTGCTCTGGCGTCGAGTTCGCGATGGCCAGCAGCTTTTCCCAGACAACATGTGGAACCGTCTCTGGATGCCATTGGTTTTCTATGTCCATGATGATGGTGGTGATTGGGTTACTTCTGCTGCTGCTGTTGTGCCTACAGGCAGGGGTACNAGGTTGTTGATCTCGGGTAGGGGCTGCGGCCCTGTTGCCCCGTGTTGACAATAGCGCTACCCTACCGCCCGGGCTGCAGCAGCCGTGGCATCGGGAAGTTGCTCTGGCGTCGAGTTCGCGATGGCCAGCAGCTTTTCCCAGACAACATGTGGAACCGTCTCTGGATGCCATTGGTTTTCTATGTCCATGATGATGGTGGTGATTGGGTTACTTCTGCTGCTGCTGTTGTGCCTACAGGCAGGGGTACGAGCGGCAAGGAGACTATCGTCCCCGCCCACTTTTCGCTCACAATGGCAAGGGTGTTCGGGACTACAGCTCCGATCACAGCTCCGATCGTCCCTGTCTGTCTGTAGTATACAAACATGTACGGCACGGCTAAACACCCCAGCGGTGGGGTAATTTCTTAACCACCCCAGCGGTGGGGTGGTCAAGCCTTACACACCCCACCAGCTGTATCTCGCTGTACAAGATTCCGATAGGCGCAGGACTTGTACGGGTGTGCTGCTGCGGTGCAGGGCTATCAATAGACCCATCGTGAGGCCGAAACGGCACAGTTTTCGTGGTGCCACGGTCGGTGGGGAACATACCGCCGCTACCCCACTGGTGGGGTCGATAACGTTATTGACCCCACCAACTGGATCTCCCTCGACAAGGCTCCAATCGACACACAATCACTTGTAGGAGTATCTGGTCGATGCACGCACAGCGCACAGCAGCGGGCAGCACCTGAGGCGGCGAACAGGTCAAGAAATCCCGCCGCATGACGCGAAACACCCGAAGTGGGTAGCGAACACTGCATTCTATTCTCTTGCAGGCAGACTTCCTCACTGCCGTATGTGGCAAAAGACACGTGCGACTGTTTTGCTGCGTTGGATGGCTATCGTGGGATCCATGGTCATGCCTAACGATAAAGGTTTGGTGGTGCCACGGCCGTTGGGGTAAACCACGCATAGTCCATGCCCCACCGGTGGGGTGGATGAGGCCAAACACCCCACCAGCGGTATCTCGCCGTACAAGACTCTAATCGAAGCGCAAGCGCCATGGTTACAGCGTGCTGTTCATGCACTCACCGCGTACACCACACAGTACATGTTACACAGCACACACACTGCAACAGCAGCGGACGCGGGGTGAACAAGTCAACAAATTCCTCGGCACAGGGAAATCTTGCATTCCTGACTCTTCATGTACAGTAGAATATTCACTGTTGTATGAACCAACCTGAGGAAATACATGTGCATACATTCCGCAATTGTTGCAGTTCCGTGCATACTCACAGAATGTGGCGTCCTGCAGCAGCGGAGGTGGCGGAGCTGCTGTAGCTCGTAGACTTTGTAGTCTACCACAGAGGTTACACTGCTGTCACCGCTCTATCACAGAGGTTGGTCTACACTGCTGTGAGATCGGTAGGCCCGAGCGAGCTCTTGAAAGAGAAATATAGATAGATTTTCTTATCAACTGACTTCCTGGTCAGGCTTTGATGGGTGCTAGATGAGAGTGAGCACAAGGGGCGAAGGCGCGCTTGTGTCTCATCTCAACAACAAAACAAAAACAAGAAACAAGCAGCAAAAACACAGCAGGTTCCGAGGGTCTCCGGAGTAATGGCCCGGGTACCGGAATTTCGGGGTTCGGAACAATAAAACAACTACAGTCTCGCCTGCCAAATTATCTCCGCTACAACTCTGTGCTCATGTTCTCTGCTGAGTACCATCTCTTCTTTCTGTATTTTGTCTACGGAAGGCTAGTTGCCGCAGTCGCACCTATGGTAAACTGTGCCTGACTACGTTGTAACAGTTTTCCTCGACACGATCCCTCGATTAGGCAAGTAGCCGATGTTCCAAACAACCTTCACTTCGCTGCCATTCTTGCGACCCCTCGATTCCCAATCCATATCAAAGAATATCGACCTCCACATGACTGAATCCATCCTGTGAGCAATACACGCGTTCAAAACATTCAACCATATGCGATCTTGTGCTTAATATTTTCTAGCACTTGTAGTCCTTGATGAGTTGCATGATGGTGGCGAATCGCTGCTTCGGGAGATGTTTCGTCGCGATGTCCGCCAACATCGTGGCACTAGGTTGGTGGTGAAGAGTGATCCGGTGCCCCTTCGTGAGTTCCCTGAGGAAGAAGAACCGGAGCGCGATGTGCTTGGTTCTAGAGCTGAACATCGCGTTGCTGGCCACAGTCAATGCTCCGGTGCTGTCGCTGTTGATGGGTACCGATCGAAAGGTCTTGAATCCGATTTCCGTCATGAAGTTGGAGATGTAGACTGCCTCGCGAGCACTGAAGCTCACCGCTTGGAGTTCGGCCTCGACGGTGTTCTGTGCTGCGAGAGTCTGTGCCTTGGCTCTGTAGCTGATCAGTCCCCCTCCTAGGAAGAACAGGTATCCGGTGGTAGACCTGCCGTTGTCTGGGTTGGCTCCAAATGACGAGTCAGTGAAGCACGAGAGTCTGAACTGCCCCTTCTTGTACACGATCGGCAGGTCCGGCGTTCCGCGTAGGTACCGTAGTAGGTGCTTGGCCGCAGCCATGTGGACCTGTGCTGGGTTTGCGCATGCCCGTGTCAGTTGGTGCACTGCGTATGACAGATCGTAGCGGGTGCATTGGGAAAGGTACAGGAGACTCCCGGTGATGGCCTGGAATCTCTGCTTGTCCTCGGGTCCGAGTAGTTGGTCTTGTGGCTGCTCGGTTGATAGTTCTGCTCCATACCCGGGGGTGCTGACCGGGTTTGCCTGTTCCATTCCGTATCGCTGTAGGATATCTCTCGCGTAGGGTCCTTGCGATATGGCTAGTGTGCCATGTTCGTAGTCCCGCTGCACTTCGATGCCGATTACGCGCTTGACCTCTCCCATGTCTGTCATTTCGAAGCTGTCCATGAGTTCCTTCTTTTTCCTGCTTACGATCTCCTTGTTTCCGCCCGTGATGAGGATGTCATCGACGTAGATCGCGAGGATTGTGAGTTCGTCCCCGCTTACGAAGATGTAGACACAGGGGTCAGAGCGAGTGCGCTGCCAGCCGAAGATGATGAGTCTGTCATTGATGGCGTCGTTCCACAGTGACGGGGACTGTGACAGGCCGTACAGACTTTTCTCCAGTTTGTAGACCATCATTTCACCTGTCGTAGGGTCCCTCTCCTCGTCGCCTGGCGCCGGCCTGACGTAGACGTTTCTGTCGGTGTACGCGTTCAGGAATGCAGCTAACACGTCCAATTGGTACACCTCCCATCCGTGTTCGCAAGCGATGGCGAATAGCATGCGGATGCTACCCAATCGGGTTACTGGAGCGTAGTTCCTTCCGAAGTGTCGTCCTGCTCGTTGGCGGTGTCCCCCCGCGACTAAGCGGGCCTTGAAGCGGCTGTCGGCCTTGATCTTGAACACGAAGCGTGTGTCGAAGATGTCCTCATCCTTCGGTACCAGGCTGATGCGTACTTTCTTAAAGACTGTGCTTGGCGAGATTACCCATCTCAGTGTCGATAGCGTTCTTCCACTGCTCGCGTTGTGGTGAGTTCATGGCTTCGGTGTACGTGCTCGGAGTTTTGATCTCTTGGTGTGTCTCCCCCAAGAACCCTTTGCTCGAGGTGCCCATGGCGTAAGCATACGCCCGGACTTCGGCGAAGGGGTCTTCATCCAGGTGAGCAAAATCCGCCGCGTCAGTAGGGCATCGTTGCTGCGCTTGGTGGGTGAGATCGAGTAGTTGATCCTCGGTGAGCTCCAGTGGGTCGGGGTGGCTGACAGCCATGGCAGAGCGGCCCCTGTCGTTCATGTTCACTTCCAGAGATTTCGGGATGCATGAAGGGTCGATAGGGTCATCTGTGGGTTGGTGAGTGCGCGTGGCAGGACGGGTCATCGTTAATCGACGCATTGGGATGGGGGCTGGCGAAGCAGCGTCCGTGTCTGTTGGCTTCGTGGGTGATTCGAGTGTCGTGTCCTGCGATGTCCTGGATGGTGTCGTAGTCCGCGGGTTGTTGTTGCTGTCAGCTCCCCCAGCAGCAAAGTAGTTGTCGGAATCCATGCCCGCGTTGTTTTGGCGAAGTTCTGCTCGGCTGATGTTGTCTTGCTGCATGTTGCGCATCTCGTGCAGCAGGAGCTCTGATTGTGTTCCGTAGTCCACTTTGTTGTCTTCGTCGCCCGTAGAGGTACGGCGTCCGAGCAATGACGTGAAGTTCATCACGTCCTGTTCATATCCGAGACGGTCGTCCCACCGGTGAGGGGGGATGGTGTTGGGTGGAGTCTCGATGAAAGTCACGTTCCGGCTTTCGTAGACCTTGTCTTTGCCCTCCACGTAGATCCGGTACGTCTTGCTGTCAGGTCCGTAACCGCAGAGCTTGCCTTCAAAGGCCCGATCGTTTAGCTTCTTCTTGTATCGCTCGTGATGAACGAACCCGCGGGCGCCGATGGCACGAAGTCGAGAAAGGTCCGGGGTTGTGTTGTACATCTTGGAATACGGCGTGGCTCCCCCTAGCGCCGCGTGTGGGGTCCTGTTGGTCAGGTATGCTGCAGTCATCATGAGCTCCCCCCACATGTGTTTTGGGAAGTCTCCATCGCGCAGTAGAGCTCGAGTCACAGCCGCAAGTGTCTGGCCATCCCTTTCTGACACTCCGATTTCTTGGGGCGTGTTGGTCGCGGCGAATTCCAGCTTGATCGCAGACTCCCTACAGTAGTTGCGCATTTCTTCCCCAGTGTTCTCTCC